TGTGGGGCACTAATCTCTAGCCAATCAAGTGACTGAGCCAATGGATGATCTTGATGTTTCTTCGTTCGAAGATGGTTGATCAGATACCTTCTGTCGGAAAACTCACGGGCACAGATTGGACATTTGTGTGCTTTGCCACGTTCGTGCTCCAACACATGGATTTCAAACCTTTGCTTATGTTTAAACACCATATCACAGATCTTGCAACGAAACTCGCTTGGAAAATGTACCGTAGATAGATGAGTTCCCATTGCTTTGGAAACCATACCACAGAGATTGCATTGCTTTAGTTTAGCACCTGGCTTATTAACTACTCCCTCGACAATGGTGTAGTACTCTTTCCAATCCTTCGTAGCCACGTAATTCGGATTTTCTACATGCTTTTTCTCGTGGTAGCGATGCGTTAGCTCCGAACTAAATGTCCTTGAACAGTAGCTACATTTGAACACCTGGTTCGAATGATACGTTTTAATATGAATCTGGACACTATCTAACGATCCAAGTTTCTTCTTACAGATGTTGCATTCATATTTTTTTAATTTTTCGTGCCGGCGTTGGATGTGTAATCGAAGTTTGTGCCGTTCCTTGAAAATTTTACCACAAATCTCGCAGCTCGTCGCAGTGGTATGTAGCTTCACGTGATGTAAAAGTGAAACCTTGGAAGGATACTCTTGTCCACAGTATTCGCACGTCCATGGACACTGGACATCACCGTCCTGGTGGTACATCTGCACGTGAAGTGTGACGTTATTTTTGCTGGTGTACCGCTTGTCACAATGTGGACATTTCACCGGATTCAAATGTTGTCGTATATGCGCGTTCAGTCTTTGAACAGTTTTAATAACAACCGTCTGCATTACACAATCCGGACAAGTGTAAGGCAATTGGCCTTCATGGCTACTGGTAAGATGAGCAATCAGGGCTTCGGACGATCCGTGTGACTCGCTTTTGCAAATGTAACATTTGTAATCGTGCAATCGAGGGCGATTTGGATCGTTAACTTTCGTGCGGGGACGTCCAGTTTTCCGCATACCTTTTGCATCCTTCTCTTGTTTTGTTCTACGACGATATTTCTTCACCGGTGGCTCTTTATCTTCAGCATCCTGTTCCGTTGGCGTCCCCTCATCGTCATCTGCGACTGTTTCTTTTTCGTGTTCTGTATCAGAAAGATCCAGCTTCGTACCAACGCTTTCATCCATTTCATAAGTAACTTCGCTTTCCTCGTGCAGTTCCGAGTCAAGATATTTGTCCTCCACAGCTTCCTGTTTAATGCAAATTTCACCAACTTCCCTAAAAAACAAAATCAGCGTTAAAATATACAACGAAAGTATAACAGACTGTACTACACTAACAATTCCTGCGTAAATGCCTTCTCCAGCATTTCCATGTCTACCTCTTCTTCTTCTTCCTGTTTAATTTCGATCTGCAGTGTTCCGACCAGTTGCTGTCTAAGCTTCAAATCGTTTGCCCGGTAGTTCTCGATAGTTGTGTGTATCTTCAGCAGTGTGGTGACACACCAAGTGCAAATCTTTTGAGGCATTCTATCATCGGGATCGACCTTTACAAAAAAAAAAACAACTTCATCGTTACAGCAATTTCCGTTTTTTGTATAATTTACCACGCTCAGACTATAGACATAACAAGTCATAATAATTATGGACAGGAAAAAATGGCATCAGTTAGGCTTATAACATATTATAACTGCTCAGTATGGCCAGCGTTTAATGCTATGTTCGCACTATGGAGTTGTAACATGTTACAACTTTGTAGTTTGAACATAGCATAAGATTCGTTTTAGTCTGTTTATACAATGACTTCGAGCACCGATTTCTCCCCATTCATACCGGCATTGGTTTAAGTTCTCTCACGGGAAATCAGCGTATCAAGTCATTGGCCATTAGTAATTACATTTTGTTTCGGAGGGAGATTTACACTTACCTCTAGCCGTGAAACATCGAAAATTATCTGCCGCAAGGAGAGTGGATATTCACGGCGTTGCTCAAACAGGGAACGCATACGACTCTTTTTCTCGCAACATAGGCGACATGTTTTCTCCACGTCCAGTTTGTTCATTTTTCCTCTGGTGGGAAATAGTTAGACGCAATTTAATCTAAATTAATTTCAAACGCTTTTCTGCAATGGAAGTCTCTAAAAACAAAAATAAACTAAACATTATCTGCATGTGCAGTGAAACGAGTGAAACCAGTGAAACGAACATTGATCACGATTCACGAACGAAGCCAAAACATGCAGGTCTGTTTTGTTTTGAACATCATTTTTATCATCGATCCTTGTTGACATTGTCATCGATCGAAAGCTTTTGTTACACGCTATTTAAAAACAACCCAAATATGAGTAGAATCAACCAACTGAACCTAAAGCCCTCTACACACGATGAATGGCTTTGAAGATCGATGTATAGAAAATTAAAGAAAATTAACGAAATGGTTGGTCTGGAATAGTAAAAATAGCTTTGAGTAGTCTACAATGGTTTGAGCCTCGCGCGCGGAATACAGGTATAAATGACTAATACGTGGAAATTGTAGCAAAAGCCTTGAATTAGTAAAGGGTTGGCTGAAAGTCGTTTCCATGGATATAGTCCTGGCACTGCCGAAGCTTAAACGTGTAAATCCTAGGTCACGTGTAAATGGAAGTATTGTCGAGGATTATACCTGGACACTTGATAACTAGTTACACCTTTGAATGTTTTTAGTTGATGCCTAAAAGCATATTTAACTGGACATTTATATCTGTAATTGTAACCAGCTCGATTTTGTTTGCAAACCTGGTTTAAATGTTTATATTTAATTATTTTAAAGATAACTCGTCCAGCTCAAACCTTTGTAGGGGTAAGAGGTGGGACCATCATCATCATCATCAGATGCCGTTTGTCTTAAGTAACAGCGCAGAGAAATCCGTGAAAAGTGTACGTTCGTCGTTTCGCTTTGTCATTAAAGTGAATAAATCTAACTGTTAGTTGCTAAGATGATTTCGGTGGTCCTAAAACGACGTATTTTTTAGCATGAAAGCTAGCGATCTGCTTTGTATGATTAAAACCCTGCTTAATATGTTAAGCACTGCTATCACTATGAGATTATATGTGTTAAATTGGAAATAGGAATAACTTTTCGGTCATCAATACAAAACTTTATTTTTCTCGGATCGGTGCGAATGTTATTTGCTCTTGAAAGAATGTTTACGAATCTTAATACAACTTATCAAGTTAATAAAATTAAAGTTAATCGACACAGCTCACAGAGAATCATCTAGTCCATATTCTTCTACGATAAGATCCTGCTCCCGTGGTTCATCGCAATTTGCTGCCTTTGGTTTCCTTGGCTTCGACTTAGCGACACTAAGACCTAGCCAATCCAGTGACTTAGCCAGGGGATGATCTCGGTGTTGCTTCGTTCGAAGATGGGCAATGAGATTTTTCCTGTCGGAAAATTCACGGCTACAAATCGGACATTGAAGCGCTTTGCCATTTTCATGTTCCAATACATGGATTTCATACCTTTGCTTCTTTTTAAAAGTCATGTCGCAGATAGTACAACGGAACTCAGGCGGAAAATGTATTGTAGATAGATGGGATCCCATTGCTTTGGAAATTATCCCACAGAGATTGCATTTTTTTAGTTTTTCGCCTGGCTTATTTGATTCTCCCTCTACAACTGTGTAATACTTTTTCCAATCCTTTTTACTTACATATTCAGGATTTTCTACATGCTTCTTCTCGTGGTATCGGTGTGTTAGTTCCGAGGCATATGTCTTAGGGCAGTAACTACATTTGAACACTCGGTTCAAATGATACGTTTTCATGTGAATTTGCACAGTGTCCAATGATCCAAGTTTCTTCTTACAAATGTTACATTCATATTTTTTTAATTTTTCGTGCCGGCCTTGGATGTGTAATCGAAGTTTCGGCCGGTCCTTGAAAAGTTTACCACAAATCTCGCAGCTAACAGCAGTGGTGTGTATTTTCATGTGATGTAAAAGTGAAACCTTGGAAGGATACACTTCCCCACAGTATTCGCACGTCGATGGGCACTGAACATCACCGTCCTGGTGGTACCTCTGCACGTGAAGATTGACGCCATTTTTGCAGCTGTACCTCTTGTCACAATGTGGACATTTCACCGGATTCAAATGTTGTCGTATATGCGCGTTCAGTCTTTGAACAGTTTTAATAACAACCGTCTGCATTACACAATCCGGACAAGTGTAAGGCAATTGATCTTCATGGCTACTGGTAAGATGAGCAATCAGGGCTTCGGACGATCCGTGTGACTCGCTTTTGCAAATGTAACATTTGTAATCGTGCAATCGAGGGCGATTTAGATCTTTAGCTTTCGTGCGGGGACGTCCAGTTTTCCGCATACCTTTTGCATCCTTCTCTTGCTTTGTTCTACGACGATATTTCTTCACCGGTGGCTCCTTATCTTCAGCATCCTGTTCCGTTGGCTTCCACTCATCGTCATCTGCGACTGTTTCTTTTTCGTGTTCTGTATCAGAAAGATCCAGCTTCGTACCAACGCTTTCATCCATTTCATAAGTAACTTCGCTTTCCTCGTGCAGTTCCGAGTCAAGATATTTGTCCTCCACAGCTTCCTGTTTAATGCAAATTTCACCAACTTCCCTAAAAAACAAAATCAGCGTTAAAATATACAACGAAAGTATAACAGACTGTACTACACTAACAATTCCTGCGTAAATGCCTTCTCCAGCATTTCCATGTCTACCTCTTCTTCTTCTTCCTGTTTAATTTCGATCTGCAGTGTTCCGACCAGTTGCTGTCTAAGCTTCAAATCGTTTGCTCGGTAGTTCTCGATAGTTGTGTGTATTTTCAGCAGTGTGGTGACACACCATGTGCAAATCTTTTGGGGCATTCTATCATCGGGATCGACCTTTACAAAAAAAAACGCAACGTTAACGTTACAGTAAATTCCGTTTTTTACACTACCGGATCAGACACTACACTACCGAGACATTAATGACTCGGAACTGCACGAGGAAAGCGAAGTTACTTATGAAATGGATGAAAGCGTTGGTACGAAGCTGGATCTTTCTGATACAGAACACGAAAAAGAAACAGTCGCAGATGACGATGAGGGGACGCCAACGGAACAGGATGCTGAAGATAAAGAGCCACCGGTGAAGAAATATCGTCGTAGAACAAAACAAGAGAAGGATGCAAAAGGTATGCGGAAAACTGGACGTCCCCGCACGAAAGTTAACGATCCAAATCGCCCTCGATTGCACGATTACAAATGTTACATTTGCAAAAGCGAGTCACACGGATCGTCCGAAGCCCTGATTGCTCATCTTACCAGTAGCCATGAAGGCCAATTGCCTTACACTTGTCCGGATTGTGTAATGCAGACGGTTGTTATTAAAACTGTTCAAAGACTGAACGCGCATATACGACAACATTTGAATCCGGTGAAATGTCCACATTGTGACAAGCGGTACACCAGCAAAAATAACGTCACACTTCACGTGCAGATGTACCACCAGGACGGTGATGTCCAGTGTCCATGGACGTGCGAATACTGTGGACAAGAGTATCCTTCCAAGGTTTCACTTTTACATCACGTGAAGCTACATACCACTGCGACGAGCTGCGAGATTTGTGGTAAAATTTTCAAGGAACGGCACAAACTTCGATTACACATCCAACGCCGGCACGAAAAATTAAAAAAATATGAATGCAACATCTGTAAGAAGAAACTTGGATCGTTAGATAGTGTCCAGATTCATATTAAAACGTATCATTCGAACCAGGTGTTCAAATGTAGCTACTGTTCAAGGACATTTAGTTCGGAGCTAACGCATCGCTACCACGAGAAAAAGCATGTAGAAAATCCGAATTACGTGGCTACGAAGGATTGGAAAGAGTACTACACCATTGTCGAGGGAGTAGTTAATAAGCCAGGTGCTAAACTAAAGCAATGCAATCTCTGTGGTATGGTTTCCAAAGCAATGGGAACTCATCTATCTACGGTACATTTTCCAAGCGAGTTTCGTTGCAAGATCTGTGATATGGTGTTTAAACATAAGCAAAGGTTTGAAATCCATGTGTTGGAGCACGAACGTGGCAAAGCACACAAATGTCCAATCTGTGCCCGTGAGTTTTCCGACAGAAGGTATCTGATCAACCATCTTCGAACGAAGAAACATCAAGATCATCCATTGGCCGACAGTGGGAAATATAGTAGAAATAAGCATGCACGCGAGGCCATCAAGGAACACGTTTTTGGCTATGGTCCATCAATCTCCCATTATCGGAGAGCGCATGCTCCGAACCGCCTGTATTTGCCTTCCGATTTGACTGAGAAGTCTCTGCACAAGAACTATGAAGCCACGCAGGATGTCAAAGTAAGTTATTCGCTGTATTGCAAGGTTGTAAGACAATGCAATATATCATTTGTACGGCTTGGGCATGAGCAATGCGAGACGTGTGTTGCTGCAGAACTGCATAAGAAAGTCGCTGAGCATTCGGAAGCAAAGGATTGTACCTGCTGCTCGGAGCACGAACTTCATATCAAGCGTGCTTCCGAATCGCGAATGGCATATCGTGCAGATGGCGACTCAACATCACCAAACGAGGTGGTATTTTCAGTAGATCTACAAAAAGTAAGTGATTGGAATTACATTATGGTATGTGACATTATTTGTAAGATATGCATATGTTTTCTAGGTCATTCAACTTCCTCGACTGGATGGATTCAAGAGTGTTATCTTTTCATCAAGGCTTTTGGTCTTTAACGAGACCTTTGCCCCAGTCGGCGCATATGCACGATCATTTCCGGTGTCTGCGTGTATTTGGCCCGAGTCGATCAGTGGCCGCACAGCCAACGACATGCTCAGTTGCTTTTACAAAGTAATTAAGAAGTACGCACACCTGAAGAAGATTACGTTTTGGTTGGACAATTGTTCATCACAGAACAAGAATTGGAATTTGTTCCAACACATCATCCTCTTGATAAACAGTAATGATATTCAGGTTGACCAAATACTGTTTAAATTTTTCGAATCTGGCCACACCTTTATGGCCGCCGATTCATTTCACGGAGCGGTCGAAAACAAAATGCGTCACGAACGAGTCGTAACCTTTGAACACTTCAAATCTGTGGTTGGTTGTGCCAAGAAAAATGTTGACGTACTTGACATGGAAGTGGCTGACTTCTTCCAAGCTGAGCTAACTGTCTCACAGTACACGTTGAACTTGTGCAAGCCCCGCCCATACGTGGACACCATGCGAAAAGTGGTATTTCAAAAGGGACGTTATGAACTTGGATACGCAAGCAACATCAACAGCGAGGACCTCGTATACTGCAAACTGTTTTCCAAGAAGCAACTCCGGTTGATCGAAAAGGATACGTTCTCTCTTGAAGCTAATGTACGCTGGCAAAAGTCTCCTCGAGGAATTGAAGCGGATAGGAAGGCTTCCCTGTTGGCGGTTGTTGTACCTGTTATTACCGAAGAAGAAAAACCTTTTTTTATTGACCTTCCGACAAAGCAACAAACATCTGAATAGTAATGTAAGATTAACCGTTGTATGAATTTTTTATACTTCAAATAAATCGCATCACTTTGTTCCATCCATAGCTTTTCAATACGAGATTTTATGTCACGAAGATGTACAAATAAGCACTTAGCAGAAAGCGAATTATGTTCGCCATAGAAGAGGAGATGACAATTCTGATTTTATGATCCCTTCAACATCGGGTTAGGGAAAGTTGACTGTAGGATATTTTTACCTTTCAGGTAATCGTTTGGGACTTGTAATGTGCTTACAATATATTATTTGGCTAACAAGCTTTAAATTTGTTAAACATTTTTTTATATTTAGTTGGAATTGGTGTAGTGGGACAAATATGCGTCTATTTTCTCAATGGGACAAATATGCGTCCATTTTCTCAATGGGACAAAATGACTTCACATTTTTTCGAGCTTTTGTAGAATAAACAGTATGTTTTTATGTGATATTCGAAAAATATGCATCAAAATATGACGATTAGCATCAAAATCTCAAAAGTGACGAAATGTAACATGGGACAGTTATGCGTCCACCGGCAGCGTAGTCCTACGTCAAAAGTACTTAAAAGTAAGTTCTTTTCACTCATCTCGGCACTATAGTGCAGGAACCCAAAAGCACTAGAGGTATATCCATTACACACTTAATTTTGTTTCGCCTAGATTCCAACAGCCGAGCAGTTCTGCAATTTATTTTACTGAAATTCAGTGAAACAATTGCCGAGACTCAGCTAACAAATAACATTTTGCTGAGATATCAGCTAACAAACAGATATTTTGCAGAGATATCAGCCAAAGTAAATGCCGAGGTAATCGGTTCTAGGAGATTTTACCGAGCTAGATTAAGTGTGTAGGGTGGGTAAACTTTACAACCCCCTACTCCCACTGCTCTTGCGATCTGTATTGAGGTCCCCAACAACTGTACCAAATTTGAACGAATTTGGTTATGATCTGAGTGCCGGTATACCGGTGGAAACTAAAGGCCCAAGCGCAATGACAGCGGAAGTGGAACGGCAGTGGCAGCGAATAAACCCCGATCTGAGTAAGCCTACTTGTCGGATTGAAAACTAGTTAGAACCAAATTTATATCGGTTAGGCTTCTTGCGAGGCTTCTTGGTGTAATTAGTAGCAACTGTCAAGCTTTCCATTTCCACATTGCGTTTGGGCCTTAACGATTTTAAAATTGGCTCATTAGAGCAACCGTATCAATGAGTAAATAAGGCACATTTACCAACCTCTACCATAACGCTACTTGCGTACCGGGGGTTGCTATTCAGGTGGGGGAAATAGCAATCCGCACCTTGGGAAGTAGTGAGTTCATAAATTTAGCAGCCCGGTAGCAACGCATCAGACGGTTGTTGTTTTGAATAAACGCCAACTTCCCTAAAAAACAAAATCAGCGTTAAAATATACAACGAAAGTATAACAGACTGTACTACACTAACAATTCCTGCGTAAATGCCTTCTCCAGCATTTCCATGTCTACCTCTTCTTCTTCTTCCTGTTTAATTTCGATCTGCAGTGTTCCGACCAGTTGCTGTCTAAGCTTCAAATCGTTTGCCCGGTAGTTCTCGATAGTTGTGTGTATCTTCAGCAGTGTGGTGACACACCAAGTGCAAATCTTTTGAGGCATTCTATCATCGGGATCGACCTTTACAAAAAAAAAAAACAACTTCATCGTTACAGCAATTTCCGTTTTTTGTATAATTTACCACGCTCAGACTATAGACATAACAAGTCATAATAATTATGGACAGGAAAAAATGGCATCAGTTAGGCTTATAACATATTATAACTGCTCAGTATGGCCAGCGTTTAATGCTATGTTCGCACTATGGAGTTGTAACATGTTACAACTTTGTAGTTTGAACATAGCATAAGATTCGTTTTAGTCTGTTTATACAATGACTTCGAGCACCGATTTCTCCCCATTCATACCGGCATTGGTTTAAGTTCTCTCACGGGAAATCAGCGTATCAAGTCATTGGCCATTAGTAATTACATTTTGTTTCGGAGGGAGATTTACACTTACCTCTAGCCGTGAAACATCGAAAATTATCTGCCGCAAGGAGAGTGGATATTCACGGCGTTGCTCAAACAGGGAACGCATACGACTCTTTTTCTCGCAACATAGGCGACATGTTTTCTCCACGTCCAGTTTGTTCATTTTTCCTCTGGTGGGAAATAGTTAGACGCAATTTAATCTAAATTAATTTCAAACGCTTTTCTGCAATGGAAGTCTCTAAAAACAAAAATAAACTAAACATTATCTGCATGTGCAGTGAAACGAGTGAAACCAGTGAAACGAACATTGATCACGATTCACGAACGAAGCCAAAACATGCAGGTCTGTTTTGTTTTGAACATCATTTTTATCATCGATCCTTGTTGACATTGTCATCGATCGAAAGCTTTTGTTACACGCTATTTAAAAACAACCCAAATATGAGTAGAATCAACCAACTGAACCTAAAGCCCTCTACACACGATGAATGGCTTTGAAGATCGATGTATAGAAAATTAAAGAAAATTAACGAAATGGTTGGTCTGGAATAGTAAAAATAGCTTTGAGTAGTCTACAATGGTTTGAGCCTCGCGCGCGGAATACAGGTATAAATGACTAATACGTGGAAATTGTAGCAAAAGCCTTGAATTAGTAAAGGGTTGGCTGAAAGTCGTTTCCATGGATATAGTCCTGGCACTGCCGAAGCTTAAACGTGTAAATCCTAGGTCACGTGTAAATGGAAGTATTGTCGAGGATTATACCTGGACACTTGATAACTAGTTACACCTTTGAATGTTTTTAGTTGATGCCTAAAAGCATATTTAACTGGACATTTATATCTGTAATTGTAACCAGCTCGATTTTGTTTGCAAACCTGGTTTAAATGTTTATATTTAATTATTTTAAAGATAACTCGTCCAGCTCAAACCTTTGTAGGGGTAAGAGGTGGGACCATCATCATCATCATCAGATGCCGTTTGTCTTAAGTAACAGCGCAGAGAAATCCGTGAAAAGTGTACGTTCGTCGTTTCGCTTTGTCATTAAAGTGAATAAATCTAACTGTTAGTTGCTAAGATGATTTCGGTGGTCCTAAAACGACGTATTTTTTAGCATGAAAGCTAGCGATCTGCTTTGTATGATTAAAACCCTGCTTAATATGTTAAGCACTGCTATCACTATGAGATTATATGTGTTAAATTGGAAATAGGAATAACTTTTCGGTCATCAATACAAAACTTTATTTTTCTCGGATCGGTGCGAATGTTATTTGCTCTTGAAAGAATGTTTACGAATCTTAATACAACTTATCAAGTTAATAAAATTAAAGTTAATCGACACAGCTCACAGAGAATCATCTAGTCCATATTCTTCTACGATAAGATCCTGCTCCCGTGGTTCATCGCAATTTGCTGCCTTTGGTTTCCTTGGCTTCGACTTAGCGACACTAAGACCTAGCCAATCCAGTGACTTAGCCAGGGGATGATCTCGGTGTTGCTTCGTTCGAAGATGGGCAATGAGATTTTTCCTGTCGGAAAATTCACGGCTACAAATCGGACATTGAAGCGCTTTGCCATTTTCATGTTCCAATACATGGATTTCATACCTTTGCTTCTTTTTAAAAGTCATGTCGCAGATAGTACAACGGAACTCAGGCGGAAAATGTATTGTAGATAGATGGGATCCCATTGCTTTGGAAATTATCCCACAGAGATTGCATTTTTTTAGTTTTTCGCCTGGCTTATTTGATTCTCCCTCTACAACTGTGTAATACTTTTTCCAATCCTTTTTACTTACATATTCAGGATTTTCTACATGCTTCTTCTCGTGGTATCGGTGTGTTAGTTCCGAGGCATATGTCTTAGGGCAGTAACTACATTTGAACACTCGGTTCAAATGATACGTTTTCATGTGAATTTGCACAGTGTCCAATGATCCAAGTTTCTTCTTACAAATGTTACATTCATATTTTTTTAATTTTTCGTGCCGGCCTTGGATGTGTAATCGAAGTTTCGGCCGGTCCTTGAAAAGTTTACCACAAATCTCGCAGCTAACAGCAGTGGTGTGTATTTTCATGTGATGTAAAAGTGAAACCTTGGAAGGATACACTTCCCCACAGTATTCGCACGTCGATGGGCACTGAACATCACCGTCCTGGTGGTACCTCTGCACGTGAAGATTGACGCCATTTTTGCAGCTGTACCTCTTGTCACAATGTGGACATTTCACCGGATTCAAATGTTGTCGTATATGCGCGTTCAGTCTTTGAACAGTTTTAATAACAACCGTCTGCATTACACAATCCGGACAAGTGTAAGGCAATTGATCTTCATGGCTACTGGTAAGATGAGCAATCAGGGCTTCGGACGATCCGTGTGACTCGCTTTTGCAAATGTAACATTTGTAATCGTGCAATCGAGGGCGATTTAGATCTTTAGCTTTCGTGCGGGGACGTCCAGTTTTCCGCATACCTTTTGCATCCTTCTCTTGCTTTGTTCTACGACGATATTTCTTCACCGGTGGCTCCTTATCTTCAGCATCCTGTTCCGTTGGCTTCCACTCATCGTCATCTGCGACTGTTTCTTTTTCGTGTTCTGTATCAGAAAGATCCAGCTTCGTACCAACGCTTTCATCCATTTCATAAGTAACTTCGCTTTCCTCGTGCAGTTCCGAGTCAAGATATTTGTCCTCCACAGCTTCCTGTTTAATGCAAATTTCACCAACTTCCCTAAAAAACAAAATCAGCGTTAAAATATACAACGAAAGTATAACAGACTGTACTACACTAACAATTCCTGCGTAAATGCCTTCTCCAGCATTTCCATGTCTACCTCTTCTTCTTCTTCCTGTTTAATTTCGATCTGCAGTGTTCCGACCAGTTGCTGTCTAAGCTTCAAATCGTTTGCTCGGTAGTTCTCGATAGTTGTGTGTATTTTCAGCAGTGTGGTGACACACCATGTGCAAATCTTTTGGGGCATTCTATCATCGGGATCGACCTTTACAAAAAAAAAACGCAACGTTAACGTTACAGTAAATTCCGTTTTTTACACTACCGGATCAGACTACAGAGTTATAACATGTTATAATAATTATCTTATGCCTTGTTCAGACTGGAGAGTGATAACACCGACAAACCGACATGAATGACCATACAACGTACTGTCAAATTTCTGATCAGATCGCAAAACTGACATCTGCCGCCGAGTTCGCGAAAAATGTGTATCCTAGCCGCAAACACGCACACAAAATGTATGAGTTGGTTCGTGTCTAATCTATTCCGGGCAAATTATTTTTATCTAGATAGCAAACTTCTATGATTTTGACAGATGGGATCGCTGCACATTTGAATCCACCGTTATGGATTCTCGATCAAGAGTTAAGTTTAAGTTCCATGTCAGTTTTTCGGGTGTTATAACATGTTATAATAATTATCGACATGAAAAATGTCATCAAGATAGGCTTATAACATGTTATAGCGCTATCTTGATGGTGGTTTCTGTGTTGCAATTATTTGAAATTATTTCGTGACTAGAACGCTGGCCAGACTGTGCAGTTATAACATGTTATAATGGTTGTCAAATAAGTGCAACACAGAAACCACCATCAAGATAGCGGAATAACATGTTATAACTCTGTAGTCTGAACGTACTATAGGTGCGTCCACCGACGAAAAATTCAAATTTAAACTATCAGACTTTTTTTGGAAGGGCGGGTCTCTCGTGGGGAAGGGGTCATTGTTCAACTAAACCCATGAAGTGGCATATTGTGATGTTAGAAATGTTTGTATCACGAGATCCCAACCATGTAGAATGTTGCTTCCTTCTGCAAAGATATTCAAGAATACAAGGTCTTGTTCATCTGAACAACTTAACCGAAGACGGGAACATTCTATCTAGTCAAGATGTAAAGTTAGGGCAAACAATGAAAAAGTAATGTTACACTAGTGCCATCTGGTGAGTGCAATCGAAACCTAACTTGTTTCCATAAAATAAAATGGCGCAACTTGCTCATTTTTGTTTTAGCGTCATCTAATGAATCAATTATATCATACTATATTCAAAACTATCCATAGTTTTGAAAACCTTCTATTTTATGGTAAAGAGTTCAGCTCATACTTCACTCACCAGGCAGCGCTAGTGTGACATTCATGTTTCATTGATTGCCCTAACTTAACATATGGACTAGATAGAAGGTTTCCGTCTTCGGCAAAGTTGTTCAATTGGACAAGACCTATCCTACACGGAAAGAAAAAAAGTACCTAATTTTGAGTTCTTTCACTCAGGTTAGCAGTTCCGTGCGCCTACTCAATTTTGAGTTGTTGTCTTTCACTCGCATGTAAACAGGATTACTTACTTTTAAGTAATTTTAACTCAACGTCAAGTTCAAACTACTCAAAATTTTAAACTTACTCAACCGTTGGGTAGTTTTTTCTCCAAATAAGGTGAAGAGTTCAGCTCAGAATTCACTAACCATGCAGGTAGCGCTAGTGTGACATTAATTTTGAATTATTTGCCCTCAGATGGACTAGATAGATGGTTTCCGTCTTCAGCAAAGCTGTTCAGATGGATAAGATCTATTTTGTGGTAAACAGTTCAGCATAGAATCCAATCGCCAGCTGGCGCTCGTGTAACATTCATTTTGAATACAACTTTACAAATCAATCATCTCTTCAGATCTAGACTTTTGCCCTTCCACTTTATGTTTGGCCAACACTAATATGGATATTCCAGCGCTTGCAGAATAATATCTTCTTTCCTTTATTTAACGTCGGTCTCTGTTCCGCAATCTAGTGCCAATCACCGACGGTCTTGCAGAATAATATAATGCGTTTGATTTTGAGATGTAATAGATTCACCACAGACAAACAGACATAAATCTCGCAAGTTGTTTATCGAACAAGCATTTAACGGACAATTTAGAAGTATCGTAGTTGGTAGTACCGCCACAATATTCAATGAGTTATGTCTGTTTGTCTGTGGATTCACTTCCTCAACTTTGATGCTGGACGCTTTAACATGGTTGTCGGTGAAGCAAAGAATTGTATATTTGACTATGGTGTTCATTTTGACGTAGGACTACGTCTGTGATTTCTATATGGGGTACACTTTGTGAAAACCAAAAATGGAACATGTAACACAATTATGAATGATTTTGAACATTAATAACTCAGCTGCCCCTGGACCAATTTCAATAATTTTATCACCAATCGATCAGAAATATTTCTACGCTTCCGACTAATGATTTTCAACAAGAAACAATTGAAAAAGTGGTAATGTCAAGTATTGCCAATGTACAAATAAAAAGTGATAATTTATCACTGTTTTCATGAAATAAAAGTTCTTCCCAAACCCAGTTGTCATAATCGTGTACCACTTGGTAACACATCGTTCTGTTTTATCCAGAAAAGATATAAAAGAGCGCTGCTGTGGTGAGTAGACAGCAGAAGCAGCAATAACAGCAGTAGGAAGGTGACAGGATAGGTAGTCCACTCTTCTACCTAGCAAGCAACAATGACTGGTCGTGGCAAAGGAGGAAAAAGTCTTGGTAAAGAAGGCGCCAAGTGTCATCGCAAGGTTTTTCGTGATAACCGCCGCCTAGTTCGCCGTGGCGGTGTCAAACGTATCTCCGGTCTGATCTACGAGAAAACACGAAGTGTCCTGAAGGTGTTCCTGGAAAATGTGATCCGTGATGCTGTCACCTACTCTGAACACGCCAAGCGTAAGCGGCCAAGGATGTCGTCTACGCTTTGAAGCGACAGACGCACTCTGTACGGTTTCAGAGGATAAATCATCACCAACTTTGGCAAAAAAACGGCACTTTTCAGGACCAACAAGCTTATAACAGTAAAGAGTTGGAATATAATTTATCTGTGCCTGTTTGTCCATATTCAGAACCACACGCCCCAACGACCACACAAAATGCTCTCCAGAGTAGTAATCTTGTAACCAAACTTGCAAGCACGGATGCAAGTGATTTTGATCGATTCTCTTTATCAACTTTCTCTTTGAAAAAAATCACTACAAATTTGGTACGCCTAGGAGAGTTAAGATAATAGATGATCGATCAATTAAATAAATTAAAACTAAATGCTCTTCACATTCGTTCCGTCCACTAGCAGTCCTACGTCAAGCTTCCGTTGGTGCCCCTTGGCACAGACCCTTCTACTTTTTAAAGTAAAGGTTTGCTGCCTCGATATTTGTATGATCTAATTGAAAGTGGAAGTGATTTACATAGATATAATACTAGAAACGCGAATGAAATAAGAACACCACATTTCTTGACCTGTGCTTCACGAAATGCATTGTATTTTAAGGGAATAAAAGTTTTTAATTCGATGCCTAGACACATTAATTACGCTTACATAATTTAAAAAACGTTGTATTTCACACGTTAAAGCTGTATTTTTAATTTATTTTTATGAATTGACAAATTATGTATCTTGATGAAGTTTTTTACGAATTATTTTGTATGGAAAGCTGTCATAACGAATGGTTTAATAATTATTGTAGATGTTGGTGATGGATGGATTTTCAATATTTGATTTAATAGTAAGTTTTATTTAAAAAAAAAAAATAATGTTGAGTAGACTACAAAAGTTCGAGCCTCGCGCGCTTATTACGGATATAGAGGACTGAATTAACATTTGATAACAAAACATTGAACTTTGAAGCTTATTTGGAAGATGCCTTGCATTAGTAGTGTTCTGGTTCAATTTCAGGGGTTCGGGAGAATTTCTGACGTTGCTTAAAATTTACGATAGCATCAGATTACGGGGTTGCTAGTGTATTAGAATGCTTTGTTGATTTTTCACGTACTCTTGATAGCTGGGAATCTTTAAGGTGGACAAAAATGTGAACGACTAAGCTTTTTCACAATGATATCGCTGTGAAGCAACTGATTTACTGCTGTTTTAATTACTTGATTATCTTAAAAATAAATCGTCCAGCTCATACCATTGTAAGGGTAGGTAAGAGATGGGACGATCATCATCAGATACTGTTCATTGGCATTGGTTTAGGTTCTCTCAAATCAGCGTATCAAGTCATTGACCATTAGTAATTACATTTAGTTTCGGTGGGAGATTTACACTTACCTGTAGCCGTGAAACATCGAAAATTATCTGCTGCAAAGAGAGTGGATATTCATGGCGATGCTCAAACAGGAAACGCATACGACTTTTTTTCTCGCCACAGAGGCGACATGTTTTCTCCACGTCCAGTTTGCTCATTTTTCCTCTGGGTGGAGGTAGTTAGACGGAATTATTCCAAAATATTTTTAAACGCTTTTCTTCCGTGCAAGTCTCGAAAAAGAAGACTTAACTAAAGTTATCTGCATCAGTGAAACGAACATTAATCGCGATTCGCGAACGAAGCCAAAACTTGCAGGTTTGTGTTTACTTTTGAAGCTTTTGAAAATCATTGTTATCATCATCGATGCATCTCTTTGTCATGATTGTCATCGACAGGTTTTTGTCTATGCTTGACAACGCAGGCCAAGTACACTATGCGCTATACAATATGCGGTACTTGAATGCTTAGATTTTGAATAAATAAATAAAACATACACAGCAGAAGAAGTTAACATACATTTAATAGATTACGAGAGAGCTATATTGAGTTTTCTGATGTTTACAACACACACACTTGCGTAGTCCCATTTTCAAGTGTGAAGTTTGTTATCCTCACTTCCTCCCCATGGGGCTGCTGTTGGTTTGTTATTGTTATCCTCGCTTTCGGACCATCAACACTCATAAAATTCGAAACATTTTTATTGGCTAATATTCATGCAAAATTCCACATGATTTTCATGTGTCCACACATAAATATAATCCACTCAGAAGTACACATGAAATTTATGAGTCAAATGAATAGTATGTGTGGTTACACATGAATTTTATGTGTACACCAAATAGGACCAAAGAGAGTACCAGAGCTGAGCCAAAAAGTTGAACATGTTTCTTCGGGACCTTCTACCGTACCAGTCAATGCCATTTGCGGCACTATTTTACTTACGCACAGCGTTTCCATTTTGACTTAATCACTCCTCTCCACACCGGTCGTCGCTATCAGAGTCATAATTTAAGTTACCGTTTTCCACACCGGCAAAACAAACTTTTGGCGTTTATTCAAAACAACAACCGTCTGATGCGTTGCTACCGGGCTGCTAAATTTATGAACTCACTACTTCCCAAGGTGCGGATTGCTATTTCCCCCACCTGAATAGCAACCCCCGGTACGCAAGTAGCGTTATGGTAGAGGTTGGTAAATGTGCCTTATTTACTCATTGGTACGGTTGCTCTAATGAGCCAATTTTAAAATCGTTAAGGCCCAAACGCAATGTGGAAATGGAAAGCTTGACAGTTGCTACTAATTACACCAAGAAGCCTCGCAAGAAGCCTAACCGATATAAATTTGGTTCTAACTAGTTTTCAATCCGACAAGTAGGCTTACTCAGATCGGGGTTTATTCGCTGCCACTGCCGTTCCACTTCCGCTGTCATTGCGCTTGGGCCTTTAGTTTCCACCGGTATACCGGCACTCAGATCATAACCAAATTCGTTCAAATTTGGTACAGTTGTTGGGGACCTCAATACAGATCGCAAGAGCAGTGGGAGTAGGGGGTTGTAAAGTTTACCCACCCTACACACTTAATCTAGCTCGGTAAAATCTCCTAGAACCGATTACCTCGGCATTTACTTTGGCTGATATCTCTGCAAAATATCTGTTTGTTAGCTGATATCTCAAAATGTTATTTGTTAGCTGAGTCTCGGCAATTGTTTCACTGAATTTCAGTAAAATAAATTGCAGAACTGCTCGGCTGTTGGAATCTAGGCGAAACAAAATTAAGTGTGTAATGGATATACCTCTAGTGCTTTTGGGTTCCTGATGCACTATAGTGCCGAGATGAGTGAAAAGAACTTACTTTTAAGTACTTTTGACGTAGGACTACGTCTGTGATTTCTATAGGGGGTACACTTTGTGAAAACCGAAAATGGAACATGAAACAAAATTATGAAAGATTTTGAACGTTAATAACTCAGCTGCCCCTGGACCAATTTCAATAATTTTATCACCAATCGATCAGAAATATTCCTACGCATCTTGTAAATTTAAGTCTTGGGCAAGAATTTGAATATGGCTTCTATGAGCTGTCACGTCGGTTCGTGGGTGATAATATTATAAGATCACGTAGTCCTACGTCGCCATTGCGTACAACCCCATAGGGCTGTCCCTTGTAGTTTTTTCTTACCTTGAAGAGTCAAATACAGTTAACTCTTCCTAACTACACACTAATCGAGTCAGTACGGTTTTACTGAGTTTTTGAATTGCGGAACTGTTCGGTAAAAGTTTAAAAATCTATGGAAAATTTATTAATGAGAAAATTTGCTCTGAATTTGTACATACTTAGTTCTGTTAACCCCATTTAATGAGAGAAAATATAATTGGTCGATTTCATTGATTCCTTACGGATAACGGTCAGTTGAATTTTTACCGACTTTTTCAGCAATTCAAAAACCCAGTAAAAAAATACTGACTCTTGTAAAAAATCTTAGTGTGTAGATATTGAAAGGACCATCCAGCTAGTGAGGATACAGTAAACCCTCCATATATGCGGTGGGTGGTACCGTCAACCCAACGATGTTTCTCGGCAGGATATTCCATGTTTCGGGTGCACGTAAAAATTGTTTATAGCGACATTATGGCAGGTAAAGAAAAGATAATTGATGTTTCTCCATATTAAATCTCCACCATATTAAAAATTCGTGATTTTTGAAAAGCCTGTCAAACCAGTAATATGACTGATCTGACTATGAGTTTTGTACAGGTAGTCCCCCCTATTCTGCGCGTCACGTGACTCGCAAAATAAGGGGGTGTTTGTTTTTCGATGCAGTTTATGATGTCGATTGATTGATTTTGTCCATTTAATTGGCAAAATATATGAAAATGAATCACATGTCCAAAGAAACCTCCCTGTTTACATGTCCGAATGCGGTTTGATGGTTATATGGCGAATATTTTCTTAAATCATTCTTGATCGTTCATATACTTCCCATAACACATCATAAAGGTATCCCTATTGGATGTACACCACATCCTTTTGTTTATTTATTTCATACGGACATGTTCGCTTGCACCCGAGCGTTTAAAGAAGCCCCGTCCGCCGGTACTATAAGGAAGAGTCAAAACTGAAGCGGTCTATTTCCAATGTCTTTTCTCACCAATGAAATTTTAAAACACGTGCCCGTTATCATTGAAAAAATAAAACAAAGAATGTTTATGAATCTTAATATAACTTATCAAGTTAATAGAACGAAAGTAAATCGATACAGCTCACAGAGAATCATCTATTCCATAATCTTCTACGATAAGATCCTGCTCCTCTGCTTCATCGCAATTTGCTGCCTTTGGTTTCCTTGGCCTTGACTTTATAGCATCAATGCCTAGCCAATCCAGTGACTTAGCCAAGGGATGATCTCGGTGTTGCTTCGTCCGAAGATGGGCAATGAGATTTCTTCTGTCGGAAAATTCACGACCACAGATCGGACATTGATGCGCTTTGCCATTTTCATGTTCCAATACATGGATTTCATACCTTTGCTTCTTTTTAAAAGTCATGTCGCAGATAGTACAACGGAACTCGGGCGGAAAATGTACCGTAGATAGATGGGTTCCAATTGCTTTGGAAATTGTCCCACAGAGATTGCATTTCTTCAATTTAAGACCAGGCTTATTTACTTCTCCCTCGACAATGGTGTAGTACTCTTTCCAATCCTTTTTGCCTACATATTCAGGATTTTCGACATGCTTCTTCTCATGGTATCGGTGTGTTAGTTCCGACGAATATGTCTTCGAGCAGTAACTACATTTGAACACCTGGTTCGAATGACTCGTTTTTATGTGAATTTGCACACTGTCCAATGATCCAAGTTTCTTCTGACAAATGTGGCACTCGTATTTTTTTAATTTTTCGTGCCGGCGTTGGATGTGCAAGCGTAATTTGTGCCGTTCCTTGAAAATTTTACCACAAATCTCACAGCTCGCCGCAGTGGTATGTAGCTTCATGTGATGCATAAGTGAAACCTTAGAACGATAAACTTCCCCACAGTATTCACACGTCGATGGGCACTGAACATCGCCGTCCAGGTGGTACATCTGCACGTGAAGTGCAACATTATTTTTGTTAGTGTACCGCTTGTCACAATATGGACATTTTTCCGGATTTAAATGTTGCCGCATATGCGCGTTCAGTTTTTGAACGGTTTTAATAACAACCGTCTCCATCACACACTCCGGACAAGTGTAAGGCAGTTTATCCTCATGACTACTATTCAGATGAGCAATCAAAGCTTCGGACGTTCCGTGTGACTCGCTTTTGCAAATGTAACATTTGTAATCGTGCAATCGAGGGCGATTTGGATCGTCAACTTTCGTGCGTGGACGTCCCATTTTTCGCTTACCTTTTGCATCCTTCTCTTGCTTTGTTCTGCGACGATATTTCTTTACCGGTGGCTCCTTATCTTCAATATCCTGTTCTGTCGGCTTCCACTCACCGTCATCCTTATCTGCGACTGTTTCTTCTTCGTGCTCAGTATCAGCAAGAGCGGGCCTCGTACTAACGCTTTCACTCATTTTGTCAGTAGATTTACTTACTTTGGGCAGATCCGAGTCAAGATATTCCTCATCCATAGCTTCCGGTTTAACGCAAAAAGCACCAACTTCCCTAAAAAATGCAACGCTTCAACATACAACACAATTCAGGGGAAACATGTCAGAAGGGTATAACTCTAAACGTAAACAATGACTTTGAACGTCGATTTCTCTTGAATGACCGCACACCCACGGAATCTGACTACACCAACTCATAGAACAAACATTTCTCTGTCAGATGATTTAGTTAGTTTGAGTGGGTATGTTGTCATTCGTAAGAAACCGACGATCCAAATCATTGTTTACGTTTCGAGTTAGACCCTTCTGACTTGTTTTCTAACTACACTAACAATTCTTGCGTAAATGCCTTCTCCAGCATTCCCATGTCCACCTCTTCCTCTTCCTGTTTAATCTCGATATGCAGCGTTCCTTGTAACTGATTTCTAAGCTTCAGATCATTTGCGCGGTACATCTCGATTGTTTCGTACATTTTAAGCAGAGTGGTAACACACCATTTGCAAATCTTTTGAGGCATTCCATCATCGGAATCGACCTAAACCGAAAAAAAACAAATTTCAAATGTTATCTTGCAGGAAGTGAAACGAGCTCAAGTGAATCAAAATTGGGTTGGTTTCGATTCACTATAGAATCTAAATTGTTTGCACTTTTATTATACACACCCCGAATTTGCACTTACCTCTAGTCGTGAAACATCGAAGATTATCTGCCGCAAGGAGCGTGGGTACTCTTTCTGTTGCTCAAACAGGGACCGCATACGGCTTTTTTTCTCGCAACAAAGGCGACATATTTTATCCACGTCTAATTTGCTCATTTTTCCCGTGTGAACATACAGAAGGAATATTCTAAAATAATATTTTCTGTAGAGACAAAAATTAATGCTTGCGATCACGATTAGCGAACGAATCCAAAGAATGCTGTCAAAATTTGATCATCTTTTTTTTTAATCATCGTCATTTTGAGAAAGAGCCATCATTGTGGTTTCATCGAAAGCTCATGAGTCGAAAGCTTTTGTTGATGTTTGGCAACCACACGCTATTTAAAAATTTCCAAATTTGGGTAGAATCCACCCAGATCGGTCAAATCTGAACCTACCCAAAAATTGGTAATCCTAATAAATCCTGAGATACCAAAGATACAACAGGATCTTCACCGACGCGAGTAAAACGCTGTCCAGACTGGAGAGTTATAACATGTTATAACGGTTGTCAAATAATTGCAACACAGAAACCACCATCAAGATAGCGCTATAACATGTTATAACTCTGTAGTCTGAACTAGAAACACTGGAATAAGAGACCAGCGGAGACAAAAAACATGAATTTGGCAACAAGATAAACATCAAAGCAATCCTGGCATTACTTGCATTTGTAACTGCTTGCAAGTGACTTCGCCAATGCACCGACGAGCGAGTTCATGAGTGCTTGTTAAACGATTTTAATACTCCTCCCTAATTGAAGCAAACCATTTGTAAACATTGCAGATTGGAACCGCTTTTGACAGTTCGATTGGAATCATAACAGTATCTCCGCTGGTCTCTTATTCCAGTGTTTCTAGTCTGAACGTACTATAATGCCTTGTTCAGACTACAGAGTTATAACATGTTATAGCGCTATCTTGATGGTGGTTTCTGTGTTGCAATTATTTGACAACCGTTATAACATGTTATAACTCTTCAGTCTGGACAGCGTTTAAGACTAGTTCAGGAACGGCGATAGCAATGTTCGACGAAACATCCAAGACCAGCAAAGCGGATAAAATAAATGACAATTTTTCAATAACCAATGCGGAGCTGCTAGCCCTGCAAAAGACAGTGGAGTGGGCCATAGAAAACAATATAAAGCAAGCGGTTATCTTGACTGACTCAGCGAGTGCATGCGCCATCCTGAGGAACAGGAAGGAAGTCCCAGAAAACTACATAGCCAGCAATATAGTTGAACTATTCCAAAAAGTTGAAACTTGAAAATCCAATGGATCCCGAGCCACTCAGGAATCCAGGGCAACGAAATAGTAGACGGAAAAGCAGTTAGGAGAACAGAAGGGACCCAAAGCATACACAACTCAATCACCTTCGGAGATGCGATAGTTCTAGCAAAAAAAGAATCGTGGGAGGAATGGAGAAGAGTCTTCGAAGCTACGAGTCAAGATAAAGGTAAATGGTACAGATCAGTACACACAAAAAATAATCGTTAATAAAATTTAAAAAAAAAACCATTGGTAGAATTAAAAGTTTACGTTGGTTCTTTTTGGTAGAAAGTCTTTAGAATTTAAAATAAAATTTAGCCTACTATCAATTCAAAAGTTAACCGCTCCCTACTTTTAAAAGTTTAAACTTTCAAAACGAATTGTACTTCTGTCAAAACAAAAGCATGGCAGTGTTGGAATAAAAAGTGGATTATTTTAAATTCAAAACAAATTTTTATCATGAAAGTGTGGTCTAATTGAAACGATCTTTTTCACTTTGAATTGAACAATTAAAATATTTTCATTTTAAATACCAGCATTGTCAGTATGACATGTAGAGTTTTTTTTTATTATTCAATTTAATTTATTATGATATCAAATCATGGCTCGTGATGAACTGATGAACTCAGACAGTATGTATCAACGGTTTTGGATCGTTAGATATCATGCATTTGGCACACTGTAAGCATTGCTTTTATCTCTGCCAGTAGTCTCCAGGCCAGCTCCATGGTTGCCTTGAAGATTGATAATCCTTGTAACCTGTGAACATGTTGAAGGGTCTATAATTCAAAATCATTGAGAAAATAGAATACACCTACAGTAAATATGATGCACATTGTACAGTCCAAGGAACAGTTAAATCTGGGAAACGAATCCGGCAAAGGCCTCGGGCTTCGCATTTATTTTGGCAGTAATTGATTGCTAAAGTTCAATCGGTGCGGCACTCGATCGTGGTATCTTGGGATCTCGCTTGGGATAATATGAACGGTTCCAGGCCAAGTTTAGCCAGCAGATGGTGCGAACCAAGAAACGTTCATTTTGGGTCGTTTTGAGGTAATACTGTAAACAGCGAAAGTAGTAAGCATTTATAAAGGTTATTTAAAAAATAAAAAAAACACTTACTGGATCGTCGAGTAGGGCCTATTTGATTTGATCCAACATTTCAAAACCATTCACGGAAATCTAAAACCGGAAGCCAATTTTAGGGACGGGCAGAATCTATGTTTGGGAAGTGGATTGATATGACACTACTGCTGCTGCTTCTGTTTTGTTTTGCATGTTTTATCTTAAAATTTAGCGGCAAAATTTCAGTGCTGCCAAAAGTGTTGGTGTTTAGAGGTATTTTTGACAGTAAACCAATTTTTATTTAAAAAAATGCACTTTTAAAATTACGAGTCATAAATGAACGAAAAACTTTCAAACCAAAAAAATAGCTTTCGTTTTGAAAATATTCGTTGTTGAAACTATGAAGTTTGAGGAATTTTCAATTTGAAAGTGAATTATTTTTATTACAACAATTTTTGTTCTTTGTGTGTACACAGAAAAAAAAGTTGTTGAATATTACATCCAAACTGCTGCAACCAGGTCAATCCATCGGTTGTGTAATATAACGTTGTACGATGTACATCGATTTTGCGAACAAAATTACATCCATTGTTTTAATATTGTATCTGATTTTTGCTATTACATCATTATTTCATACATCAGCTTGAATTACATTGATCGATATTACATTTTTTTTTGCTGTGTACAAGCACAACCACGCAGGAATATTTGGTTCAAAAACTTGATACTATCAACGGAAGAAAAAAGAATCATGAGCAGGATAAGAGCAGGGCACACCCTAACGAAAGAAAGAAAAGCGATGTTCAAAATGGAACCAAATGACCGATGCACCGAATGCGATGAGACGGAAAACCTAGAGCACATATTGTACATTTGCCCGAAATTCAACCATATCAGAAGCAAATTCCCAGCACTGGAATACTGCATGCCGCTCGTCGGGATACTGCAAGATGAATGTGAGACAACGATGAAGCAGATCACCCGCTTCATTCAGGAAATAAAATTACATCTATGAATCAAAACCAAGAACACCTGGCAAGATGGACCAACCATGGTCTTAGCCGTCATCAGACAACAGCAAACAAAAAAAAAAATCCTAATAAATTTGTGGTTATTTTGCTTAACGACATGTTTGGGGTATCATCCAAACCATTTGTGGAATAGTTCGATCATTTGGGTTTGTCGTAATTCTGTATCACTATATCGTTCGTTTACACACTTAATCTAGCTCGGTAAAATCTCCAACAGCCGATTACCTCGGTAGTAACTTTTGCTGATATATCTGCAAAATATCTGTTTGTTAGCTGATATCTCAGCAAAATTTTATTTGTTAGCTGAGTATCGGCAATTGTTTTACTGAATCTCAGCTAAATAAATTGCAGAAATACTCGGCTGTTGGATTCTCGGCGAAAAAATTTAAGTGTGTATGGTATTTTGTTTGTTAGGGAAACTGTGTTGGGAGTGACAAGTTGACAAATGAACAAAATCGATCGGATTCATGTTGATGTTGTTCATTTGTCAACTTGTGACTCCCAACATAGTTTACCCACTTTTGGGTAGCTTCAGTTTTGACCGATCTGGGTGGATTCTACCGAAATTTGGGTAGTTTTGAAATAGCGTATACGCCAGATAGAGCTGGAATAAGGGCCAATAGGTCGTATGAATAAAAGTGTTTACTTTACTTTTCCCGTAAGAAAAGCACGGGAAAGTATTGCTGATTGCATCTGAAACTGGACTGTCCCAAAAATGCAATCTAGTGCAAATCACCGACGGACATCGATTGCCATCCATTGATGGCAAACGAATGTGCAGGAATGCAGCTTCCACACCTGCGTAGGATATCGCACCCATTCACAACACACATGGGCTGGGACCAACGGCTTTACTTCCCTTCCGAAGGAAGACGTGACCAGAGATTTTTATGCCTCAGAAAAATCCCACCGACCTCGGCTGGGATTGAACCAACAATCAATACGAAACTAACGATTTTAAATTGGATCACTACTTGACTAGCCTATTGGTCCCAAGCAAACGATTGACGTATCCCATTCTAGTCGAAATTCTACTACTACACAATGTTTGTTTTGATTCGCTATGAAAGTTTGACAGATAAAATGAGGGGTTATTAGATTTTCCTATGTTTCGAGGGGTGAATCGATTAGCTTGGGACCGAAGAGAGTACCAGACCCGCATAAACGCGAACCATCACATGACCTTACCGATAATGGTTATAAATTGTTTATAATCCCTGCTAAACTTCAACTGAAATGGTTATGGAACTTTACATGAACGTTTGTGTGATAAAGTTTTAACCTTATGTATTATGGTTTTTTGGAAGCGGACCTTACAAATAATGGGTTGTTAAGAACCATTACCATTCCAAATTCTTGTTTTGTATATACATTATCGGAAAGAGAACCACGGAACCGAATTTTGTTCATTTAAATCAAAAATAAAAATGTTCATTCTATAAACATATGAATAATTCAAAATAAATTAAAACCATGTTTGCAACAAAAATATATATGTTTGAATCAAAGTCAGAAGCATGTTTATTTCAACAATATAGAATTTGGGTAAACGATTTTTAGCGTGCCCTGCATTTTTTCCTTCTTGTTGACATTCGGAAAAAAATTGCCCCAGCTTTGCCAATCAATGAAAACGGCCCGCAACAAAACCGAAGTCATGGATGCGGAAACCCACTTAGGTAAGTATCTTAACAAAGGGAAACGAAAATCCGAAATGGATTTTGAATCTATTCCGGAACCTCCAGCACCTCCCCCCCCCCCCTTCAAAAGTCATTTCTTCCAGTTTGCTTCGAGCTTTTGTCTTTGATCCGAAACATGCTTCTCATTTACACCTGCCTTGTGT